GAGGGGAAGGCATGGTTAATCGACCCCGGCGTAGTGGAGGTAGCGTCATTTCTGAATGATGGCCCAGGTATACTAGTTGCTGAAGGGTGGTTGTTGAAAACTTGTATAGTGGGTGTTGTTTCTACCACATCACTGGTTAAAGCCGGTGTAGGGACCGGGACCTGCGTCCGTCGTCTTGTACTACGACCAACAATGCTATGTTGGAGAGCTGCCCTCCGTCTAGTTTTCCGTATGGGAGCTGCCCCATGACCTGGAAAACAATAAATTGAACAGTATCTGCGGAAAATTCCATTGAACTAATGTGTGCAACAAACATTGAATGCACCTTTTGATATCCAAGAAGAATGGATTCCTAATAATCAGGAAACTCATAATAGCATTCTTGTGAAAAAGTAAACATCCCATTGGACAACATTGGGAGAAACTCCCATAATAACAGCAAGTTTATGTAATTTCAAGTGAAAGTTTATGAATATGCAAACACATGTGTTAGCATAAAATTGAGATCAGAATAACCATATAAATAGTCATAATCAAAATAGGATTATTGTTTTCAAAACCTTCCATACTATGCCAAAAAGGTTAACAAAATTGAAAGCAAAACATTGTAAAAACATAGAACTATAGAACTGCTCAAAAAAGTGGGAAACATAAACTCATGTTACCACCACTTTAACGACACAAGTTAACTAACATGCATCATCAATTGTTTTCTTTTGAGCCTAAAACATTACCACACACAGTCACACATGTTAACTAACATGTATATATGAGAACTCTCATAGCAAAACATGTGAACTCACATGTAAATATTTGGCACGAACAACATGTTAACTAACACATTATATCGTATAGCAATGGTACACGCGTGTACACATGCAAAACAAACCCCGATTTTGATCGGGCAAAATAAATCAACCGTTAAAACAACAGAAGTCAAAACCGAAGTACTGATCGACATGTAAAGCTAACAATAACTCGTAAATTCTGACAAAACAGAACACTCTACCACAATTGTGTCAACACATTTACTAAATGTAACGTACGATTAGTTACTGCTGATGATTCCTCAATGTCACACGTGAAATAACCAGGAAAAGAATCTACTTTGAGGCGAGGAGAACACGCATTGTTTACAATAACAGCTGGGCGGAAATAAGCTAGTGCGCATGTGCAGTCGACTCTATGACATCAGAGATATCCCAAAATAGAACGAGTTGAAGGTAAACATAAACAAACCAGGATAAAAAAAACTAATGAATATGCAAGACCTTACCTTGTAGGGAAAGAAAATAACTCATGCTGCGGCAAATTTTAAGCCCTGTAAAATTGCTCCACGCACAGAATATATGTACCTGCGCATCCTCTTAGAAGACAAGTGGACACCGTCCTTACACAAATTTTCAGAGACGCCATCTTTAAGGCCCTTATGGCGCCAAAAGAAACACACCGTGGAACCCATACAGCGTTGTTTTAAGGCAGAATTGACGAAATCCACAGATTCATTGTAAATAGTCACAGGTGTCACTCGAGTTGTCCGACGATATAATAATTGTAGGAACCCCACACGTTTGATGCCAAAACCAGTAACTAACCACTGGGCTATCGAAAATAGGTCAGTCACAAGTGTGCCCTTAACCCGCACATTGTCAGCACAATCTAGGTCATTGCCACCGATTTGTAATAAAACCACCGAAGGCTGAACTTGTTGAATAGTATCAGAAATACAACGAGCGTAAAGATTAGGAATCTTACCGCCACTTTTGCCAAGACACAAGACTTGTAACTGATCCGGGTCAAAACCTAGATTTGTCCATGAACCCGTAAGGCTATCATCCAAACGGCGAATAAAACTGTGACCCAAAACGATAACTGACGACATTACAACGTACAGTCAAGTACATAAAGTTTATCTTGTATATACTAAAATCTGTGATCAGATAAAACAATACAAAACTTTACAAGTTTAAATAAAATTGACCTTGACCGTACGAACCTTGTTCCGCCATCTACTTTTATCAGCTTCTGAATAGGAGCTGCTGCGTCATTTGTCTTTATAGTGATCTAATTATAGCAACATATCAATGCGCGTATGTAACCTGTCGGACCGCATCACTCATACACCAACATACCTCCTTCCGCAAATAAAATTAGTTATGTAAAAGCATGTAAGTCTGACTGCATAAATTACATTAAAACAAGTTTTAATTTGTATTTAATTGTTCAAATGCAGCTTAACTTATTTATTGCATGGGCGTATTTGACAACACGAAAGAATGTAACAAGGACAATCAACTTTTTTCTCAAGAAAAAGGTGTATTCGTGTGCTGCATAGTTCGTAGATAAGTTATTTTAAGTAGGTTTCAAGATATTTGATGTAGCTGGCAAGTTTTATTATATGCATCAATTTTTGAACTTTCATCTTAATTTACGGGAGAGCTGTTCACCAGAATCCTGTAGGTTATAGTTTAGTGCTTGGTGTCTATTTGACAGTATTATGGACATTTCATTTATTGTGATTTATATATGAACATTGATCTGTGTTATATTGAATACATTCTTGGTAACTAACAGGAAGCTGATACCCAGTAACTTTTGATTATTGATTAACGGGGAGTTGGTCACCCTCAAACCTTGAACATATTGATAAAAGGGGAGTTGATCACCCTCAAACCTTGAAGATATTGATTAACAGGGAGTTGATCACCCTCAAACCTTGACCATATTGATAAAAGGGGAGTTGATCATCCTCAAACCTTGAATATATTGTTTAACGGGGAGTTGGTCACCCTCAAACCTTGAATATATTGACTAACGGGGAGTTGATCACCCTCACACCGAAAATATATATTGATTAACGGGAAATTGGTCACCCTCAAACCGAGAATATATCGATTCGCACAATAATCAGCGGGGAGCTGAGACCCATAAACCGCTTATAGGTGATTACGGAATTGTTTTGTTTTTTATTGTGATCTGTAAAATGACACCCGTATTGGCTTATTGGGTCGACGGCCGGTTAGAAAGTTGTGACTAAAAACAACAATCTAACTTATTACTTGTTTGTTATGTGTGTATCTTTAATAAAACAAAATGTCTCAATCTATGCAACAATTAGCTAGGCGCATAATAGACAGAAAATATTTCGGCAGCTAATTTAGAAAATTCATACAGATTTGTCCAAAACACGTAAGCCAATCAGAATTTCTTCCACATCACAGTGTCTACAACATGGAAACAAGTGCGGTTTTTTGTTTTAAATATCTTTATATCAAATGACCAGGAGCTCGATCCATTATGTTAACTGCCCTGCTAACGGGACTTTCCTCTAGATCCAAGACGACAGTAATCCTATGTATATCGACTATTTATTGATCTCATTTTATGTTTCAAACGAGACTCTAAAATACCTACTCAAGTTATGGAAAATAAAAACACCATCTTAAGTAAATTGAATATCAGAATATGTATGCATCATTTTGGTATTGATCTTCTATCAGGTCTGAACGATTCTATTGTTATATCTTTATTGTCTGAAAAGTTTAATGCAAATACTAATGCTTGTCGTC